GCTCTTCCGATCTTTCCATCTCAAAAGTGGAAGCAATTAATTAGCGCTAGTGTACGGGGGGTGGTCAAAACTTTTGCCGGGGTCGCGAGATCGCAGTAGTATTGAGTATTTATAACTATTGGCGTACAATAGTTACTATTAGCAGAGATGCTTCTCTCTACTATTAGCATTCCAATAGTTACTATTGGCATTTTAATAGTTTTTTTCCGTACGGGCAGGCGGCAGCCTGTTTTAAGCGCCTCACTCTGTATATATTTATTAGTTAACAAGTATAATAATAATTTTTTTAATTGTTATACTGTATACAGAGCTGAAATAAAATGATATTTATAAGTATTCATGCACATTACGCATAAATTAGAGAATTCCCTGGAAGATATTATCCTATCGATCGTTTCGTAATATAAGTACGTAAGCACGAGGTCCCGTGTTGTCATAGTGACTAGTAAATAATTTGAAATCACAATACTCAAAGGCATGGAAACATTCCTTCATCTATTGTACTGTCAATACATTTCTACTGTATTTCTAATATAAAAAGTTATTTCAGATTAAAATAATTATTTAATTTAAAAATTTACAAAAAGTTCACAGCTCTTTAATCAAGAAATTTTAAGGAATTAGTATTTTGTAATAATATTTGCACAAATTAAGATTTATTTGCATATATTTTTCCAGAAAATATATTTTAATCTCGCCGATACATCATGATGGATATGGAGATGAATGCTGAATTGGACGGTGTAAGTAACTTAAAAAGTGTATAATTAATAATTTATTGTGTTTAATTTTTTACGGTATGTTTTTATATGATTTAAGAGCTTTCAAATTTACATTGATCTTTTAAAAGTACAAGAGATTTAATATCACTCATATAACCTTTTTCTTAAATGTCATTAATTTTTATCGGATTGTAAGGGCTTAGATAAGTGATCACTTATATTGCAATCATCTATAATGGCAATAATGTTGCTTTCAGGATGAGGGAAGTGAAAGTAGTCAACCATCCTCAGAAGGAAGCTCGGCAAGCAGCACGTTTTGTACCTTGGAGAAAGATTATGCAAGGGTAAGAATTTTGCAAAAGTTAATTGTTAAGTTATTAAAAGGTATTTTTAAAATATATTGAAATTATTAAAAAGTATGAACCTATTTATATTTACTCTCAAATTTATCATGATCACTGCAGATTTAAATGATTTATTTTTAAAATTAAATTTCAGTATGTGTATAACTGCATATGTAGTTTTCTCATGCATTAATAATATTTAGCTATAATTTATTTTATTTTATTTTTTTATATTATCTATATAAATTTTTTAAAAAATTAAATATATTTTACTTACAAAGAAAGGGACCGAAGTGTACCCTTCTGATTTTAATGAGCTTTTAATATGTTATTCTAGATCGGAAGAGCACACG